GGAGTAATGTCTGCACCAAGATATGTTCTTGTACATGTAGTGAAATGAGAGCACAGGAGCCACAGAACTGGACCCCACCAGTTATTTCCAAGATGGTGACCAAGTGGCAAAAGGAAATGCCTTGAGTAACAGGGGGATCCCCAGGAAAGGGGGAGGTTCCAGGTTTCCTGCCCCACCCAAAAGGAGGGTGAAGCCGAGCAGAGGAAGAAGCTGCAGGAGAGACTGAGGAAGGAGGAAGCAGGGTGGAGCCAGAAGGAGACCTGGAGGAGGCACATGGAGCTGAGAGACACGTGAAGAAACCACACTTGCTTTTGGTCTTGGACTGGGTGACACAGATGTGGGTGAGACCCGTGGGGAGGTGACAATGGTGGTTTTTATCCTGATTTTGATTTTGCTCTTTTCCTTCCAGACTTGTCTGGTGGTTTCTGATGATTTTCTGTGGGTCCCCACTGGGGGATGCTTTAGACTTGTGGCAGGCTTTGGGGCCTTGCTCTGGGCCAATCCTGCTTGGGTGGACTTTTTTACCCACGAGGGGACGGGTAACTTTGGGTACTTGATTTAGAAACTGTAGTCTTTGCCTTGCCTGTATTTTTCCTAATGGTATTAACGTTCCTTTTCGTTAAAGTCTCATATGTTTTGTGTTGATGCAGCGGATGGCAGAACCTATTTAGAGCAGGCAGGTTTGCGGGGTCTGGGGTGCCCCTCTCCCTGCCCTGTAACACTTGGGCATAACTGCTGAGAGTCTACCCTCAGTCCCCAAGACTCTGCCTTGAATTCATGACACACCAGTCTTCCTAAATAAAAGGAAATCCTTCTTTAAGACTCAGAGAGAAGTTGCTCTGAACACAAATTCTCCATTCTCCATTGTCAGGCAATAAAATTCTTGGTATGTTAAACAGAACCTACTGTAGTTTCTGAATTTTTCGCTTTTAGTCACCAGGCAAACAGACCCTCACTTAAGGGGATTTCCATAACCGCACTTAACACAGTATTGTAATTGGTGATTAGAATGTAAAGCCTCTTTTGACATCATTTGTTTCTGGTTACATACCCCTCCTCCCACTGCCCCACCCCCCAAGAAATAAGCTGATGAAGAAAGTATCCAAGGGAGTCTGGGTTCAAATCTCAATTGTTAGGGGGAAAAGGCTGTCCTAAAGCTAATTCCATACAGGCTTTGTGGACTCCACCCCCACCCCAGGCCAAAGCCAAAGACACTGGGAACTCCAAATCCCATCACCACCCAAGGGAAGGTGGCTGGGACCTGAGGGTGGGGTTCAGCAGCCAGGTTGGTATAAGACCAGACACGTGGGCTTTGGAGGGGTCCCCCATTTTGGCTCTCCGCCAGCTCGCAGTGTCCGGCCAGCTCTGAGAGTGACTTTGGGTTTCCAGGTCGGCGGATCGGGTAGGACGCATTAAAGACTTTATTTCCCTATTTTCTCCCTGAGTTGTCCATTTTCCTTATTTCCTTTTCCCTTGTAAATAAACCTTTTATTAACCTTTTGTGTGTGCCTGTAGTGGAGTATTTATAAGTCCCTTTTAAGCGCGCGGGTGAGGACCCACAGCCAGGAACCCGTTCAATATCGGGGCTGTCCTATAACAAATGGACTTTTTCAATTTATATTTAATTGAGGCAATGTTAGGATAACTCCATCAGGAGTTGCCAGTGTAGTTCACCCACCACCAGATCACCCATGGTGCACCCTCATCATCCACTATGCTTCCTTCCCTCTTGGTTCTGACCTCTCCCCCTTCACCCCCACTTCAGATCTCTAGTCAGCTTTCAAGGGTTGGTTCTTAATCACATATCTTTCACTTGCTGGTTTTGTGACCCCAGACAAGGTAGTTTAGATCTCTCAAGTTCAGTGATCTTACTTGTAAAAGGAAAATATTTACTTCTTGATGAAATTGGGAGGCTGACATATGTTTCTGAAAGAGAAAAGGCGAGGTTCTCAAGAGGTGGTGCAAGGGGTTAAGTTGCAACCTATGAAGCATTCCACAGCCACTGCAGCACGAGTTCGATCCCCGGCCAGGGAGCTATCCACATGGCACAGCAGACATCTCCTGTCTTGCCTGCTGCTCCCCTCAGCAGTGTATTTCAGTCAGTCTGCCTGTTCTGTTCCCCACTCTGTCTCTGGTGGATCCTCCCACTCCCCTGGCCTGTACCCCAGTTCTTGTATGCATAAATAAATCTTTAAAAAAATGAGGTGCTCAAAAAATATGCCAGCACTTCACTGCCCACCCCCACATGCCAGCCCCTGCACCAGAACCGGATGAGGTTTGGTCTTCACTCAAGGCTTAAGGTATATTGAAAAGTAAGGAGCTGGAATTGCTGCCACTCTTTTATTGGTAGAAAGAAAAGAGAATGATTGTTTTCCTGACACAGCAGTATGGGGACAAATCTGCCAAGGGAGGAAGTTTGTTTTTGTTACTTTCCTCTCCCCTCCCCCCATACTTCTGCCCCCTCAGGCCCCTAGTAAATATCCAGTGTCTCATTCTATACAAACTGTCAAAATCCCAGATCTTTTGTTAGCCCAGAGGGCTCAGACAATACTCTTTCAGGCCGCAACAATTCAGGATGACCCTTGTCCTTAAAAGGAATATTAGATTACCTGCCACAGGCCAGGAAAATAGCAGTCATTTGGCTGAGTTTAGATTAAAATGACAACAAATGTGGCAGTAGCATCACATAACCAGAGAGCCAGTCAGCTGAAAAAAGGCAAAAAGCTCTGCGTGCTTTACTAGGTGGCACTAGGAAGCAGTTAGGAACCTCAGCGAACACACTCCAAGGAGCCTTTTTGGTGGGTTAGGGCTGGCCCCAGTGCCCCTCAAATCATGCCAGTGTGCTCAGTCCATTCCTAGCCTCAGCCCTGCTGATTCTGAAAACCAAGACTATTCAAGGAAGGTTCCAAGAGTTCTCTGAAATCCTCAGCTGGACTGTTAGCAACAGGACATGGGCCAAAGGGCTCCTCCCATCAATCTTGGAGCTTGAGACTCATCCAAAACTACTCCAGGAATTCTGATGGGTTCCAAGACACCCTGTCTAGGGAATTACTGAGAGGCCTCCCCAGTGTGGCTCTGGTCATTTCAAAGGGACCCCCAGGAGGTCAGGGCTGCAGTGGAGGTTCTGGTCTAACCTGGCTCAGGGCTTCCCAGGCAGAAGGAGATGCCCAGTGTTTAGTATGAGAGTATCCTGTACATCACAGATAAACCTTGCAAATATTTTGCTAGGTGAAAGGAGCTAGTCACAAAGGACCACACACACTTAGTAGGCTTCCGTTTATGTGAAATGTCAACAGAAAGTCAATTTGTGCCTGCCAGGGGCTGGAGAAAGGTTCAGAAGAAGCGAGGAGTCATTTTTTATCGGTAAGAAATTTTTGGGGGAGTGATAAAAATGTTCTAAAATTGACTTTGATGATGATTGCAAAGCTCTGCAAATATATTAAAAAATAAAATCAACGAATTGCACGTCTCTGTGGTAAAGGAATTATATCTTCATCAAGTTATTTTTTAAAATATTCTAAAGTCTACCTTGCAGTAACCAAGCCACTGAGGGCCAGGTGCAGAGGAAATCCATCCAGATTGTTCTCTTGGAACAACCAAAAATCCAAATGCTATCCATTCAGTCTAAATTTACCACTGCATTCTGTCTGCAAAACTGGATCACCTTGTCAGAAACAGAACCCTGGGTCTCCTTATCACACCCAGCTTAAACCTTTGCTGGATTTGAAAAGGGCCTTTTATCACTTGCTGAACTCAGTGCCCTGTAAGTGAGCAGCCCCAGAGTCTTAACAGGAATTTCAGGAAAACCTCCTTGTCCCTTTGACTTCCCCAGAGTCAACAAACACTTAATGCCAAATTTTTCATTTCATTTCATTTGAAGAGTCATCTTCAAAACGTCCAGAGGGAAGGAGCTCTCAGCAGCAGCATCTCCATTTGAGCCCTATCCCTAAGGACCAGTCTAAGCAGAAGACACCCCTCTTTCTTGTCCCACCACGCCCGGCCCTGAGCTCGGGAGACACAGAAGAGCTTCCCACCGAGGACCCAAGAACCCAACACCCAAATCGAGCGCTGGTGTCCTGGGCTTGCAGCGATTCCAAGCCTTTCTTGGGCCGGAGGCCATTTCCAGTGGCTTCGCGCCTACTCCGCTTGGTCCGCCCCCAAGCCCGGCTCTTTGCGCTCACTGCAAGCTCAGCCCTAGCTGCCCAAATGCTTCCCCTCCCAGGCGTTGCATGCTAGGAGGCGCCTAGCAGGAGGGGTCCAGAGGGATAAAAGGAGCCAGGTGAGCGGTGGAAAAGCCAGTGCGGAGAGGGCTCTCCAACACCGCAGCCTGGCGGCGCAGGTCAAAGAGGCAACCTCTGCTAAGACGCCTAAGAAAAACCCTCGAAGCTCCTTGGCTTGCTGACCCAGTTATGAAGCTGCCACTGCCAACATTTTCTATGAGTGCACTCTGCCAGGCAGGTCATCTTTGCATCTAGCGCTTGGTTCCCAGCACTAATCCAGGACAGTACCAAGGGCTGACAGGTGATCTCTGTATCCCATTAGCTCCATGGACGGCTCTTCAAGCGACCCCAAGTACAATCTAAATAAAAACAGCGTGCTTTCCATCTCTATGCAGTTACTCAACAAGAATCCCTAAGACCCTTTCCCACTAAATTGAGCGTCCCCTGAAAGCCACTGGATCTGGAAGCCAAACCCGCCTCTTCCCGACGCGCACTAACTGCACCCAAACCCTGGGGCAAGCCCCCGCTGGCCACACAAGACATCCTCGCCCTCTGGGTATTCGCATCACCCAGCGCCCCTCTCCTTGGATTTCAGAGATCCTGTCCAAAAGGTATCCGAATGCACCGAATCCCCCCGCAAGGTCCCTGGCCACCTGGGCGCGCGTTTAGATAAGGCGCGTGGAATTGCATTACTTCTGCAGGTGCCTCGCCTTTTTCCCTTCTTCCTCACAAACGTCTAAAAGCCCACCCGAATTAGAGCAGAGAAATATTGAAACTGACCTGGTGCCCAGCAAGGTTCCAGCCAGGTTGAGAACCTTTCCGCGCCTAGGGAAGATCCAAGTTTCGCCGCCAGTTAGTTAGGTCTTGGCGACGAGAGCCTTTCGCTCGCTCCCAGCCGCGTGTCCTTTTTAATTAAGCTCTCTCTCACCTCCTCCAGCTCCTATCCCTGGCGCCCCGGAGCTACCTCCTCCACTCCAGCGCTCCCCTACTGCTGGGCGCCCGGATCAGATAAGAGGAAGGGAAGACCCGCGGGCGGCCAATTATAGAGCGGAAGGTGGCCGCGGGGGCGGGGGTTGGGGAGGTGGGAGGCAGGCCTAAGTCCCTAACGCCCCTATTTTCTCTCCTGCTCCTCCTCTCCCCACCTCCTCGCCCCACCCCCACTCCCAGCCCTACAGGGATGCTCAGAGCAGCCGCCCCGGGCCGCCCGCGCGCCACCCTCAGTTCCAGAAGGACCGCCCGCCCAGGTGCGCGCCGGAGCCTGCAGGCCAGCGCAGCAAAGAGCCTCCTTTGCACCCTTCTCGGATCCAGGTGGTGTGAGGATGCTAAAGCCCGCCCTGCCCTGGCTCCGGGAGGTCTGGAGCCCGCCAGGGCGCAGGTGCTGTGTGTCCGCTTCCCCATGCCCAAAAGTCAGCCTCGCCTTCCAGCGCCTTGGGACCCTGTGCCCGCGCGCCGTAGCTATTGTAGCCACGGCGTTGCTCGTCTCCCCAACCTCTCCTTTCCTGTTAGGACGATTCCTGGAAGCGGCTACGAAATGCCAAACAGGTTGCCCCAACTAATGCTCAGGAGAATCATCTGAGGACGACTTTGACACGGACATTCGTTCGGTTTACTAGCACGGAGGTCGGCTGTTTTCCGTGCTCAGACTTCCTCACCTGCACATCCCCCTGAGGTCTCAGCCGAGCCGGGCATTCTGCATTTATCAAGTGCTTTGGTGGTTCCGATCCACAAAGCCCACCCTGACAGCTGCTTTGCGCAGATGTGAAGCACGCGGGAGGGGCGCGGGGCTCCGAGAGGACCCGCCCTGGACGGTCACCCTCTGCCCCCCGGGGGGAGTCGTCAACGTTACCTGCGTTTTGAACCCTGAGCGCATCATCCCTGCCCCGCGACTTTCTCTGCAGCCCTGCTAGTCATAGACATACAAGTGCAGGGGAAAGAGATAGAAGTGAGAATTTACCAGGAACCTTTAAAAAAATTATCGCTTTGGAAAACTGAAAAGCGGGTATCTCACCGCCAGTAAAGACTAGTGATGGAAAGAAGAGAATAGATAAGTGAGTCTCTTAAAATCTGCTTTCATCGCGCTCCGCTGAGGCCTCCCTGGTGGCGCAAGGGATTAAGCACCGCACGATGAAGCAACCCGCAGCCTCTGCAGCACGAGTTCGATCCCCGGCCGGCCAGGGAGCAACCCACATGGCGCGGCAGACCTCTCCTGTCTCACCCGCTGCTCCCCTCACCAGTGTATTTCAGTAGATCTCCCTGTTCTGTTCCCCACTGTCTCTGGTGAATCCTCTCACCCCCACCCCCACACCTCTGGTCTGTACCCCAGTTCTTGTATGCATAAATAAATAAATCTTAAAAAAAAAATCCAGAACGAAGCGCAGTGACGTTTGGAGAGTTTCGAAAATGTTCCTAGGACGTTCTAACTTTCTGTACCGCTGTAGCCACCTCCCCGCCTCGCCGAGATATTGGCATCCCTTTGGCCTTGCGCTGCGCTTCCCCGCGGCTCCTGCGCGTGGAGTGGAAAGGGTCTGTGCAGCATCCACTGGTGCTTTTCCAAATGGGCCTCAGCTCAGCCCCAGGGCGTGGGTCTGCTCCGCGCGCTTCTGGGAACTCAGTTCGCTGGGGTCAGGCAACCAGCGCGGCTTTTTAGTAGACTGGCCCCAAGTATTGGGGCTCCAGCGCTTGGACTGCAATGGTGCGAGCGTCACCTGGTGGCTACATTTGCGGAACTGGGATAAGGCGGGAATCGGAGAGATACCTGTGCACCTAGACTGACGCACAGGGACCAGGATTCCTGAAATATAGTATTTATTCCTGGAGACAGCTAATTTTTTGATCTGAACTTCTTTCCTCGGTTCCACATGCTGAGTACCTACCTACTGCCCTCGTATTCTGTCCCTCCTTTTCACAAATAAAATCTACTTTTTTAGAACGTTGGGGGGGAGGTGAGAATAAAGGGCTGTTGTTTGACAATCAAATTCTATTTTAATAGGAATGCTAAAGAACGAAAGGTAAAAAGAACTTTGAAGAAGCTGTTTTTCTATGTGAAGACAGCACTAAATGCACGCAGATCCCAATCAGCATTGGTGATACGTTTGATAGTGACAGCTGCATAGTGATCACAGAGCAGACGTCATCATTTTGTATTTTAGCTCACACCAGAAAGCAATTTGTGGCCAAAGAAGGTCAAGGAATATTATCCATTTGAGGCACAATTCTTGATACGATCACAGATTCAGGAAAATATATAAAACTACAAAATGTTTACCAGGGAAAAGCACAGAGGGATGCAGCTGCTGTGGGCCATCGTTTTGCCAGATTACTCAGTCTAGAGACCAGGCGGTAATATTCTGAGTTTCTTCCTGTGCCTAGACATTGAATTTTAGCCAAAGGATATGACTTGGATACAATTAACAAGGATGAAATTATTTCCAATATGGGCGTTCAAGATCATGAGATAGTGCTGTCCTTGATACTACAGGCTGTTGATAGATTTCATAAGCAACACAAGAGATATCCAGGGATATCTATCAAATTGAAGTCCAAATAGAAAAATTGAAGTCTTGCCTCACTGGTTTTCCTTCTGGAATATGGATAATCCCATGAATTTTGCTGATAAGAAACTGCTAAGCTTGTGCACCATTGCTGTATTCTTTAAGGGAATGCTGCACAGGAGGTTATCAAAATAATCTCAAAACAATTTGTAATTTTAACAATACTTGCATTATAGTAGCATTGACAAATACAAGGAACATCCCAGTTGTAGAAAATCAGCCTTTGTTGTATGTTAACCGTTGAGACTATAATTGTCTTCAGGATGTACCCTAGTCTATAAAATTCTGCTACAAAGGAACTGTTAAATTGTTTCCTGAATAAACATTTTCTCATTTGTCACCACAAGCTACTTTTTACCAAAGAGTAAGATGACTAGTGTAAGCTTAGCTTGTCTTGTAATTCCTTTGAGGGAGGGAGTTAACCAAAGTTTTAGACAAAGGGAGGGAAAAAGCACTTATGATGGAATTTTAGAAACTTGGTAATGAGGAAATCCTTGATGACACTAAAATGGAAATGTGTACAAAAATCCATATGCTGCTAACAGAGAAGCATCATATTTGTTTGATACATAATAATGTAGATGGATTTTGTAATTGTGTAAAATATTGTTTTTTTGAATTCAAATTCACCCTCTCCACCTCTCTAACTTTTGACTGCTTCCATTTCACTTTCAATGTAGATAAGCCTCAATTAATATTGAATCAGGATGGCTGTTTTCAATCTGTTTTCCATTTAGTTGCAGTTGTGTGTGAATTTCCAGCCCCTTCAAGGGAGTGTTTATTCAACATTTATCTTAAGGTCAGTTCCTGGAGTCTGACAGAGCACTGAGAACGGAATCATAGAAACAGAGCAGAAGACCCCACTAAAGTTCTGCCCCTTTCAGTCTAAGGAACAGTCCATCTGAAGGCATATGTGAGTATCCTGTACCTTTTCAAAGATATCCAAAAATTCCAGCTTTGCACATTAGTTGATTCCAGGACTCAACCACTGTTGTACAGTCTCATCCTGAGTTTGTGACGTGACTGTGATCTTGCTTCTGTGAAGGACCCCACCATCACACACACATAAACAGAGAGAGAGAGAGAGAGAGAGAGAGAGAGAGAGAGAGACATCCTCTCTCTTCTCAGTCCCCTGAAACCTTGCAGGAAGATTTTGGACTCAAGTTGAAGAGCCTCCACCCCTTGCTTCTCTCACTTTGAAGAAGTTACTTTACCTCTGGAGTTTAACTCATTCCTCTTTTGGAAGGAGGAGGATTGCTTGCACATCTGGAGATGGTCCTGGTGGTAAAATGACAGATGTGCTCCTGGACCAAATCCATAATAATATGTGGCGCGTATCACCCAACCTGGGACTATCCTTCCTCCACTCAGTGCATGTGGTTGTACTCTCTTCTGCTGTTCCTTCCATAAAAATCTCCTTGCAGTATTTCCCAACACAGGCACTGTTGGTATTTGGGCAGTAAAACTGCCTCAGACATTGTGGAATATTTATTGTTCCTGGCCTTACCACCAAATTCCAGTTGCACCATCCTATTCTCCTAGTCATTGTCAAAACCAAAGTTCGCACCATGCATTTCCTTAGATTTGGGAGTAAACTCGTTTTATTTGCACTTCTACTCCAACCTCTCTGTAAAGACCAGCTATGATTTTTCCTCATCGCCGCATCCAATCCCCCTTCTTTGGTAACAGGTTTCATACTCAGTGGATAGGCAGGCACCAGATGGCAGTAGTCTGCCATGTCCACAAGCAATGCCCTACCCCCTGTTTTCATGCTCCCTTCCTGCTGACCACATCATTGCTCTTGGGACTTTTGGTGTTTGTCCTGATCTCGAAACAACCAATTGATAATAGAGGGCTAACCACCAGCACGGAATCTTCAGGAACCTGTCCCAAGCCAAGGTTTGAGGTTCCATATTGATTGTGGTTCCCGCCATACTAGCTGTTAAGCACTCTGTGCCTCACCCTAGAGTAACAGTACTCTGAGTTGTGTTAGGATGCTGCCTCCACTCCGTTGGATCAGGTCGTGTTGGGACTGTCATTCAGAGAGCCCTGTTCTCTAGCCCAGTGTGGGCACAGCCTCTAAATTACTCTCTCCCTCAAAGGTAAATATAAGCCAATGTAACACAGACTGGGAAGAAATGTTTGTTAAATTTTTACCTCCTGGCAATGAAGCCTGAAGGAACAATAATAGTTCCTTGTATCTAGACACAGTTCTAGCATCCAGTAGGAACACTACAATGCAACTGGGCAGGTTGTTTAAATATTGAAAGAGAGGAAACAGGAGGGAGGGAGGGATTTTGGAGGGAGGCAGATGGGGTGTGGGCACAGGTGTTTTTTTGCAGCAGGTAAAGACGACATGTGCACATAACATATGGAAGAATAAAAATGTAACTCCAAAAATAAAAAAAAAGTATATTATAAGACTTCTATGTTGGTGGAAAAATAGCTGTTTCCTGAAATCCAAATGTTATTT